CACTAACAGCGGTACATATATGTCCCTCGTTCGGACAATATGTGCAGTTTGTAAATGACTTAAAGTACATAGAATTGTGCGATTTCATTGTATTAGGTAAGAGTATATTTGTAATGTTTATAATGTGATTTTAAAAAATCCCCTCACTTCAGATCAAAACTGCTACTCTTTGCAATGAAATATATGGAGATAACGAACAATGATCAAGCTTAGAAGTCCATCAAATTTTGGAGCATAGTAAACACAGGTCTGTAAAACATCAGAGGTGGAATCAGGAGCCATGGAGGTGTGACCATCCCTTGCCGAATGGTCAAACTCGACATGTGCTATTTGCCATGATCGGAAAATTGTCAACAATTTAGTAAGTAACGACGTAAAAATTTAAATATAAAACGTCAGTAAGCTTTTTGACTTAATGATTGTATTTGCTGACAAGGTCATAGTTTCAACTATAGAATTTTAAAAAATGATGACTTACAACGAAACTGTTGAAATTCTTGTTTCATCAAATTGTTTGTCAACAACATACCTCGTTTTAGAAATTCAAACAGAGAATACAGATAAGAAGCGATTGAATCTACGCATTACTTAATGTCTCAATGAAACAGTTTTAAGGAATAAACATGAAATTAATAGAAAGTAGGAAGCTTAACATATAATGTGTTTTACTCCATAATGTGTTTTTAAAACTGTTTTAGTGGTACAATTTTCAATTTTTCCCTAACAATTATTTAAATAAGGTACTTTGAGGTATACTAATTTTTCAAGATATTCCTCTTTAGTAAACAATTATACAGCATTTTCATCCGTCAATATACATAGCACTGTTTAAAGATTATTGTCATTTAAAAAATGCATTAATAAAAAACGATACCAGTTTCAAATAGAAATTCAAAAGATGATTCAAAATTATTGTGCGTTAATATTCACATTCAATCAAAATCAACAGGAAGTCTGTCCTGTGACGTTTGCAGCTAGATTAAGTACTCCCATACTTATACATGTCTATGCATTTCTATGAATATATAGCGTCTGGAGATCCTTTGTAACGCCACGTTTAAATTATTAAGTTCGAATAAATTTCGGCGAATATATATTAAGACTGAACGCGATTCGTAAAGGAATGTGTCCGCCATTTTTGTTCCGATTCTCGCCATATCTGCAAATCCCTATATAAAGGACAAAACTGTTCACTGTTCAGTGTAACCAGTCGACACCGATGTAGACGGACGTGTGCTACACAGCACTCGGTAGCGACAATAATAACGCAATACTTCTAATGCAGGAAAGTATGATCATAGAAGTTCAAAGAAACTTAGAATTAAAGTTGTACAGGTTAGTACAGTTAATACACAAACACAGAAAGGTAATTCAAGATAACCAGCACGAACACGGGTCGCCATTCCACGCCGATACCTGCGAGAATAAAGCAGTCAGATGTAACGAATCTGAAGAGTATATCCCTGTACTGTTTTATCGTAGATATCGAAAATGGCGAATGTTGTGCTCAACTTTAATGTTCATTTTCATACACACTCAAATACGTATACAGGTTTCTGTTATAAATATCGTTATGTGAATCAATAAATAAAAAAACTTATCTTGTCATTATAACACTATTTGGAGTTGTAATAATTAAAGCCATCTGGACCTCGCAGCACAAACTGATATAACGTTGCGGACTTTTTTGACTGCAGAGTATCGGACAAAATTTGCAGCTCTCCACCGGATAGTGCTGGTGTCTTCATATTAGTAAATTAAAAAAAATTATCGAGAGGGATGTAAACTACATACAATTAATCAATCAATCCCATTATTCAAAAGTTATGCTGTACAAAAATATCACCTTTCTTTTTTCTACAAACTTTCTTAACCTAGCTGTGTTTTGCTGTTTTACAAATAAATGTACAAAACTACATGGGAAAAAATAGTAAAGCTCTAAAAAATGATCTCGAGTTTTAAGACCATAACAACTTTTTGTTACATAAAATTTCATTTTTTCCGAGGATACTATGAAATCGCCTATTTTCGTGGGGTCAAATGTTAGTGATTTCATGAAATCTACGGGTTCGTGAAGATTTGATTTCGTGGATGAATATTTTTTTAGTAGTCATGTATATGACATTTTACTTTTGGTAGATATGAATAAAAACCCACGGAAATTAGTGATTTCACAGTAATCTCATAAAATGAAACAAAATGAGGGTTTCTTTAATAAAAAAAAAGTACTATAGTAAAATTTTCACTTCTACATTTATTTCTAAAGGTAATCAAAGTGAGAATTTTGAATTTTGATAAGTTCACTTTAGAGAAATTCAGCAAACTACCTGTTGGACTAATATTTTCTAATGAATAAATAATTGGAAATGAATTCGCTATATCAGATCACGACAGTATAATAAAGGTTTTAATTGTTTGCCTTTAACTTCACATTTCATTAAAACAATTTTACATATTACAGGTTGTCACAGAGGTAAATACGATGCTAATTGTAATCTTCCATGTCCTAAGCATTGTAAAAGTAACCAATGTTTTGTACATAACGGGACATGTCTTGGATGTGCTAATGGCTGGACTGGCTTTCAATGCAACCAACGTAAATTCTTTTTCGTTATTGATTACATTGAATACCACATACATAAAAACATTGTAGATTATTTTGCAAAATATTATTTCATTAAAAACGTAAAAAAGGATGATATTCATTCATGTTGTGAATAAGAACTATGTTTCAAATTAAGAATTGGAAACATTTTGCAAAACAATTCGAACATGAATGAAAACGTTGAAAATATTTACACAGCAATTTTTTGTTTATTTAATGATACTGATTATTTAAATGAGATAGATTTACACATTTACTTTTATTCAGCATGTCTGTCCGGAAGGTATGGTCCTGATTGTTCTTTATTCTGCTCTGGACATTGCAAAAATAACTCGCCTTGTAATTCTACTAACGGGTTTTGTACGTACGGCTGCACTGACGGGTGGAAGGGCGAATATTGCAATGCAAGTAAGAATTGTTTATCAAAAAAAAAATGATATAAAAACTATAGATTTCAATGTAACAAGCGTATAGATAATGTTTTAAGCTTTAAATTTTGAGTTTACAATTTCAGGCTGTACCTCTGGAACATTTGGTTCGGACTGTAAATATAATTGTAGTGGAAATTGTCTTCATGAAGAAGCCTGCATTATAACAACAGGGAAATGTGCTCGAGGTTGTAAACCCGGATACGAGGGAGAACGTTGCGACAATGGTAATATTTTTTTTCCAAAACTGTCATTATTAACACAAAGAAAAAAATCTTTACTTTGATATTTTTATGTCTACACTTACGTGTAGAACCCCAAACAACTCTAAATTATGAAATTATCCCAGGCTTGGAGATGGCAAAATGCAATTAATTTTTTATCTAGGCTTAGTTAATTTTAGTTGTAAAACTTTATTCGATTGGATAAAAGATTTATTTAATATTGTATAACAATGATTACCTTGGTCACAATGAGTAACGTCAAAAACGTATTACTCAGCTTGACTTTACTATTAAGATATATGCTCAGTTGAAGCTATTTTTGGAGGAAAATTGACTTACAATTGTCTACACTGAAAATAAAGTATAAGGAATGAAAATTATTCGAATCTATGGTATTTGATATAACATAACTTGAGAAAGTTTACCGCTTCGGGATAAATAAAGCATAAACCACCTCAAATTATGTTATATCGTATAACATCGTTAAAAGAAGCCTTGAAAATATACCGGAATCTTTTTAAATTACCATTGAAATAAACACAAAAAACGGAAAAATCTTTTTTTTCTTTCAGCTTCATGTGAATTGTGTGAACTGCATTTTTAGACCTACATTTCCAAAACCCACCAATTTTAAACTTACGATCTTTAGCAATCTTTATCCTAAACTAGCGTTACCATTTAAACGGTATCTCGTTTTAGAACTCCATCCGTTTTTACCAAGTAAAACATTTTTGGATATAAGTGAATATACCTCTAGCTCTCGTCTAAACTGTACCATTAGTTTGTAGCATTGGATATTTCAGAGAAGGCATTTGACTTGATCGAATAAGCTAATACAAATCAGGAGGCAAAAATAGAGACAGATAACATTCCCATAGCACCACAGAGTATTATTTAAATTCAATCAAACAACTTTTTTTTCATTTTACTGAAAGAGTGTGCTGAAGAAAAATATGGGACAAGCTGTCTGCATTCTTGTAGTAAAAACTGCTTAAACAAGGAACCGTGTAACTACGTGACTGGAATTTGTGATAACGGATGTGCAGATGGCTATAATGGAAGCTGGTGTAATATAAGTAAGATTAATAGCAATAATTCTAAAAATGAGAATATTAAATTGTTTATGCATCAATTGCTCAGGCCTCAGTTTCTTTTAATTCGACAAATAAAAACATTATAAGCACACTTGCAGAAAATAATAATTATAACGAATTTTGTAATGTGTTTAATAGGTAATGATATGTAATGACCATTCTAATGAATATATAAAAAAAATATTTGAATCATTTTGTCAGCTTGTTCAAATGGATATTTTGGTGCAAATTGTGCAAATGTTTGCTCCGAGAACTGCTCTAATATATGTAATCCTGTTGATGGAACCTGTATATGCAAACAAGGACTAACGAACTCTCCAAAATGCAATCAAGGTAATTGTAAATATTTCAGAAATATAAAAAAAAGGTATATAATGGAAATTCAAAAATTTAATTTGTATTTCAAATCAGCAGATCTTTTCTACACTTTAAGAGATGTTTTTCAAATACAATCATATGGGTTTTTTTTTACCGACCACAATAATTAAATTTAGTCAAAAAGATTTCTTCTTTATATTAGCTTTCTTACATTTTTTTCTCTCTAGGCTTTTCTCGGGATAATAAATTGTAAATTAATTATAAAAAGATTGCTGAGTTACATTACTAAAAGTGTGAACTAATAGTTAACATAACTTTTGGAAAAAAGGATTCATAAAGACTGTGGCAAAGGTAGAAAGTCAATCTTTTCAAAAGGAAGAAGAGTCTAGATCTGTAACTGTTGGATTAAGTGTTGGGGCAGCTATTTTACTCATCTTGATTTTTGTTTCACTGATTCTATTTTTACGGTAAGTTTTTTTTGTAAAAAAAAAAGTGTTATTTATATTTATCTATATATTCTATCACTATTTTAAAAGAATATTCTGTTTATGATAAAATGAGATACATGTACCAACATCTCATAATTTTGCAAAATGTATACATGTATATACAAAGAGGGTTATCTTATTTCCATTTACATTTTCAAAAGCCATTATTCCGTTCAAATATCATTTAAGCATAACAAAAAGCAAATTTTATCTCTAACTCATTAAGGTTAGTTCAATATCTGCACGCGTGAAGAAAAATAATTGCCATGTCTTTAAACTTTGATATTGCAGTTATTCCGACAAGAATAATTGAAGTGGAACTAAATATATACAAACTTACAAACTTGAAATATAGTTCACCAAGATACACACACACATATATCAAAATTAGTTCAATTTCATCCAGTATTTAAAACAAAGTGACAAATGAAGAGACATCTAGACAGACAGACGGACAGACGAAGAGGAGCATATTTGTTCACCGGTAGAGTAGTTAAATTAAAACGTTAATTAAGCGTTTAAGACATAGGTTAAACATGTGGATTTTATATGAAATATCGAGACTTCCATTTACCAGTTTATGTATGAATCATATATTATTGCAGTTGATTTCAATTTCTTCTTCCAGATATAGAAACAAATCTCAAAAGGAAAAGGTATCATTTAATCCAAAGGAAAGGATAATGCTTCAGAAATTAGAAAAGAAACTTACATCAACAAAGCAGAGTAACAATTATTTCTTGATTCACTGCAGACTTAATTAATATTTACCAATTTTGGTATTTGTGTTCATAACAGATGAAGTTACCAATTTTGAAACAAATGCTTTAAAGCATATTTGCATATAAAATACCGATGAAAGAATCTTGGCTAAAAATATAAGCAAATAATAATACTGTTGATATATATGTAATTACAGAATTTTCCGAAAAAGACAATTCATCTATTCCTGTCGAGTCAACCTTGAACCTTGCCCCCCTTGGTAATGCAAAAGATCAAAGAGGTGGATTGATACGCACAAAGAAAATAATAACGATAAAGAACTTACATGCGATAATAGAAAAGATGACATTATGTGAAAGCGCTGGATATAAGAATGAATATATGGTATATGTTACATTGTTGTTAGTCTGGTTTACAGTTATAGCTTTTAAATACGTTTATATGCAACATTTTTTCTGTCGCAAATTGTTTGATCATTGCATTTTTTAGTTTAAGGTTTTATTTATTCAGGATTCCATTAATTTCAGGAAATAAAGAAGGGAGAACTTTATCCTTGTTTAGAAGCCAAAAAGCCTGAAAATGTTCCCAAAAACCGCTACAAAACAACATATGCTTGTAAGTATTGCTTTGTATCAAACTCTGCCTAAATGCTATAGCTTGTATAATCCCATTTATCCTTCTTTTCAGACGATCATTCCCGTGTTGTTCTGTCAACTGTATCGAGAGAATCCAGCTACATTAATGCAAATTTTATTGAGGTAACTTGATTTTTTTCACTTTTAGCCTCTTTTTATATACATATATTTTTTTTCTATTGACTAGCTTCTACAAGTATCTATTTTGTATATTGAATTAGGATACACAAGGACAACGGGCGTATGTTGCTACTCAAGGTAAAAGAGGAAAAAGATCAAATTACAAGGCATCCAAATTGTTAAAGTATTACAAACGACTGAAATAGAAAGTTGTTAAGGCTTTTAAGCGTAGTCTTTTTGCTATCTTGGTTCTCATCATTAGGTCCTAAACCAAAGACAGTATCTGATTTTTGGTCAATGGTTTGGCAAGAAAAGCTTAATATCATTGTGTGTTTGACAAATCTGAAGGAGGGAGAAAAGGTCTCTATTTTAGATTATCTATGAATGTTTGTGCCATGCAAAAATTAATTTATAAAAGTTATGTTGATTAATACATCGGAACTATTTCTACAATCTTCTATTAGATTAAATGTACTCAATACTGGCCCAACAGTGGCGAACAAATAAGGACTGGGGAGTTTACCATCTGTACCGAGAAGGAGACTGTCTATGCAGACTATGTTATAAGAACTCTTCGTCTAGGTAGAAAAAATGTAAGAATGATATTCATGAATTTCCATAATTTCAAAGAACTACTCTTAAAATTAACCCCTAATTGGAATGAAAATCCCTTAACTAAGTCTATAATATTATGAACATATTCGGGTTAGACATTTTTTATGAAACAAATGTACAATTGTCTCCCCCTTCAGATCAAAACAGACATGAAAGTAATGATGCTTCACTATACAAAATGGCCGGATCATGGGGTCCCTGATCCACTAAGTCTCGTGATATTTCATCGTCACGTGATGAGGATATCTGATTTGAATCGCGGAAAATACACCCTTGTCCATTGCAGGCATGAAACTCTCTCTCTCTCTCTCTCTCTCTCTCTCTCTCTCTCTCTCTCTCTCTCTCCTCGTTATAATTAGTTACTTTATTTGAATCTCTTTATCTAGTGCAGGCATAGGGAGAACGGGAACGTATATAGCACTTGACGCCTTATACCGAGAAGGTGAAAAGACAGGGAAAGTTAATGTGCAGAAATATGTGGAAATCATGAGAAAAGACAGAATGAACATGATACAGGGTAGTGTAAGTGAAATACCCATAGAGGAATTCAAGCATTTTTGGTCAGAAATGAAAGTTTCTTTCTGATGGGATTTCTTTCAATTTGTAGGATTCTCTACATGCCAGAGATCAATGTATAATTTTGAGAATTATGCAATATTCTTTAACGGTCAATATAAATGTTAAGGAATCAATTTTGCATTCTTGATATATTTTTCTAAAAAATATCATGAATATAAAGGAAGTAATTGACAATAATAAGTTTATACTGCATATACTGTAACTTTCACTTTCAAAGAGTTATCACAGGTTACTATTTTAATCTTTTACTACTTTTTTTACATGTTGTCTTGCAGGATCAGTATGAAATTGTCTATTTGACGCTCTGTGAGTCTTTCAGAGGAAAATCTAAATGCATGTCTACAGAGTCATTTTTGCAAGAGTACCAGCAACACTCCTGTTACTCTAATTCTGGAAAAAATCAAACCAACCCATCACTATCTGGAGAATTTGAGGTTCATTCTTAACTATTTCTATTTGTAAAAGGGAACAAAATATCACATGTATTCAGTTTAGAAACCTTCAGTTTTAAATCAATTAATTTATTGTTGAAAGGAATTGACAAACCTAAAAAAAGAACATTCTCAGAAAGATTTTGAATCGGGACAAGCTAATATCAAGGCAAATTATTCACCAGCAATTTTACCAGGTAAATACTAATACACATATAAACCGTGTAGTTTATTTCTTCTTTTTTCGCTGTTTCAATTTCAAGGATTAGTATTATTTAAGTGTAAATTTTTGTAAGCTATTTAGTAATAACTATCATGATTATAAAGATTGGGGAACCTTAAAACACAAAATTCATGATCAATTATTGTTTTAATTGCAGTTGAGGAATTCAGATGTTATTTGGACTACGTGAAAAATAGAGGAACATATTATAATGCTGTTCTTCTAAAGGTTTAGCAAGATTTCACTAAACTCACATCTTTTGCTTAATTAACAAATAGAGAAAATCAAGTTGTAATGTAACAGACACTGATTCAGAATACCACAAATAAAATTATAACTTTGGAATTTTTCAGTCTTTTACTAGAAATGACGCCTTGATCAGTGCTCAGTACCCCCTTCCTGATTTCACGGAAGACTTCCTCAGATTACTAACAGACTTTGATGTCCGCTTTGCTGTATTCCTATCTCCCCTGAGAGATATTTCCTCGGTGTGTGTTATAAGTTGACAAAAAGTAATTTTCCTCTTTATCAGGTAAAGACATTTTAACTTCTGTTTTTCATGTCTATTCATTGACTGTTAAAAGTTACGTTCTGGTTTTTTAGGAATAGGTTAATATGATTATTATTTATTATGCTAATTTACAGTGTATTGGCTACTATGTAAATGCTCACTTCTTTGTTATTCATATGAACATGAATTACATATTTTACCTATTCCTTTCTTTTATTCATTTGAATCTAAACTATATATTTTCAGTCTAGCCTGTGGTTTCCATTCAAAAAACAGACAAAAACATTGGGATCGTTCACAGTAAAATTTGCAGATTCTTCAAATTCCAGCAATATTAATACCACAGAAATTTTGCTGAAGCGAGAGGTTTGTTAAAACATCAAAATGTCACTGACAACCTGTAATACAAAATAAGATACTAAAAAAAATTAATTTTACAAATAAGTGACTGTGTGTTGTTTTCAGGGAAGTGGTGATATAAGAAGATTGGCTGTAGTTGAATGCAGGGCGTGGAAAGAAGGCTTGTCTTTAGATCATAGGGCGTTACTTGACGCGATAAAGGAAACAAAAATTGAAAAAAGCCTGACTGGAAGCAGAATTCTGATTTTGTCCAAGTAAAGATAGGATATGAATTTGGCTTATGATTATGTAATGAAATACAATGAAGAAGTTTCATCTATAAACAAAAAAAAACAAAGTTTTGATCTTGTCCAATTATAGGAATTATATTTTGATATATCATTTCTTTATTAAATAGATAAAAATTAAAATTGACACTCTTTGCACAAATTAAAAATCAAACAATTCCTTTTCCTTCAGTGACGGTGCCAAACGCTGCGGGCCATTCTGTGTTGTTTACAACTGTCTGGAGCAAATATCCCTTGACAACGAATTTGATATGTTTACCAATACACGTTTGCTTCAAATTCGACGACCGGAATTTATCTCAACATTGGTACGAAAAACAAGATAAGAGATTGTGAAGCCAAATTATAAATGAAATAAAAGTAGGCCCGAATTAGAAATTTATTGCCAATTATTATCTTATTTGTGCTAGTTTGATTTCATTTCTTTTTAACTCTATTGTAGGATGAATACCAGTTTTGCCATGATGTTTTAGCCGAATATCTTCAGAATGATACAGTTTACGCTAATTGCTAAATGGACATAGCTGCAAATAGTTAAACCTAATTGAAATTATACATAATTTTATTAACAAAACAGTGAATGGGAACGGGAAGCAGGCATCACCTATTTTAGTCCTCTCTCTAGTGAAAATACTGAGACGTTTAATGTTTGCTGAATGAGCACAGTCTGTAAGAAGAATGACTTTACCAGTTTTTGCCACTAATGATGAATATATTTCCGTTTTTTGTTGCAATTTATAAAAGCAATACAGCATATGTTAAGTCATCGACGGACAAAAAAATAAACCAGAATAATGCATATGTACTTATTCATGTTTTTTCATTTATTTGTTAATAATCAGACAGGTATTAAAATACCATATATTTTCTTCAACTGAATTCATTCATTAGATTTATAAGAGAATAGTATAAAGCGTTTAAAAATTATATTGTGTCTTACAAGTAAGTCTAGATCTGTTCATTGAATGTTTCTTAACATACAACACGTCTAGCAAAATGCTACTTAAAAAGTATCACTTTCAAGAACATCGATTTTTTAAATTAGGTACCTCTTCATTTATTAGACCTTTTTCTGCATTTATTTCATTCATTTGTCTTATTTTTCTAGCTTTCAAGGACACGAAGTCTAAAACAAAAAGACAAGGAAATGGTTTTGTTTGCATTTATTGTTTATTTTCTTCCCTGTCAATATTATATAATACTTAAAAATTGACGTAGAGGCTTCTGAATGTGAAAAAGTACAGAGACTACCAATCAACAGAACAGAAGGAAATGTATTCATAATTTCTTTAATGCATTTCCTTCCAAGTGTTATTTACTTCCATTGACCCTTAATGCAATGTTAAATATAAATCACGTAATAATCTTAAGGAAAAAAAAACGCCTTTGATTATCATTGGTTCTTAAATGCCATATATGTATTGTGATCAATGTAAAAGAAAGTATGCAAGTTAAGGTTTCTTCCTTATACATTATGATTATTTTACATGTGACTTAAAATGAAGATACAATGAAAGGAAAGAAGGTACATGGTTGGGAAAAATTGTGTTCATTTCTGCCTGATCCAATAAATACGTTTCTTTTTATCTGACGACATAGGTTTTACATGTACATGCACATTGTATATATCTTGTGTGTATTTTCTTCTTGACATACACTTTGTAATTTGTCAATAAATATTTTGTTTACTAGTATTCCGAATCCACTCATATCTTTAATACAGATTTTGTGAATGTTTGAATAAATAGTGCGGAAAACCAAGTGGGATAGACTGACAGACATACAGAGGTACAGAGAGATAGGGAGAAAAACCTATAGTTTCATCCGGTTTCACCGGTAGTGGACTAATTATATAATAGTGTTGTGTTTTGCGTGCACTATGCCTAAATAGTAGTCAGGGTTTGACACATGGTGCACGAGCCCACAACACTATTGTTATTATTATGCTGACTGTTGTTACTGTATAAAAACGGCAATATTTTCTTCAGTCCCAATGTTTCATCACCTGTAACATTCGTTTACTCTATTATGACGTCACCTTATGCAACATGTACGTCATAATCTTTTCTTTAATTTTGAACGTTCCATGCTTTAGGTATAATCTACAGATAGTTTTAGAGAATATATTTGAGTGAAGGAAGGGGGGTTGCAAGAAATAATTTTAGAACATTTATTTTGTTTATTTTTAATTTTAATTATAAAATATTTGAAACTAAGTTTATATATATTATAGTACAATACTGCAGATAACGGCGTCTGTGGCGTAATCGGTAGCGCGTCGGACTGACAATCTCGGGGTCGTGAGTTCGCTCCCCGGTATGGGCGTTGTCGGATTTTCCTCAAAAATGGAAGCCGTGCACTATTTCGGCATAGTATGCTTACGCTATATAAATCCTTAGAACACTATGCGAGAATAGTAGGGTATGGGTTATATAGAGACAAACTGACAGGAAGCATAATAATTAATTATAGATTATGTGAAGAACAAATATGAAAAATCATATCGAATCTTATGTGTATAAGCTTTCGCAACAAGATATGCTCATGTAATCTTATAAATATTATATGAAATTATTGCAGAACAGGTTTGTTTAATCTTTTCTAATTAATATTATATTCATATTGAAATATAAAAAAATAGATTTAATTCAAACAAATTATTAGAATTGAGTAGGAAACATTTGGCAGGAAATTTAATCATTCATCTTTGGATTGATATCAAAACAACGAAGTACATCCTCTTTGTAATCTGTTGTCCATCTAGTCGATGTGTAGGGAGAACTTAATTTTAAAAATTCTCCATCCAGATCATGCCATTTCCACCTACAATCGGCATTACTGTCCATAGATATAATTTTTTTTTTAATTACGAACTTGCTCATTAAAATAACATCAGAGAGGACAAATGCACCAACGTTATTCAGTATTATGACATAAATCATGTTAAAAATGAGGATAAAAAATCCAATGCATAATTTTCCAACACATTTAGGTAAATATCTATGTTATGGGGAAGAGGAAATCTTGTATTCTGTATCATAAGAATTTTCTCTTCATCACATAAAATCTCATGTTTAAAAATGTGGGGAAAAAATCATTTTTATGATAAATTTTTAGAGACAAAAACACATAAAATATATTCATTCCAAATTATTGCTTGAAAATGTCCAAGACAATTACGTTATCATCTTAAAAAAATGATGTGGAATCTTTTTATTCGCCGGGCTCAATGTTCATTGGCAAGGAAAATTTTGTTGGTTAATATGATTAATGGGGACGTTATTTTGAGAGTATCTGTATATGCAGAAAACTCAATAAATAAATATATCGAAAAAATAATTGTTCATTCTTGGATAAGAGTGATCCACAAAATCAAGGAACACCCCCTAACAACAACAAACTAATTTCGATGATACCACTGTACACAAATAATTTTAATGACCAATTTGACAAGAAATACCAGTGAATCCTTATAATCAAACGTTTTCAAAAAAGGCACTTACATCAAGTTAGGACCAAATAGATAGGTCAAATTTTTCCTCAAATTTAATTTTTCCTAAACTTTAAAATTTGTTCTTGGATACAAAATCTCTCTTTATACATGATATGAAAGGAATTCAACCGCATATTTTTTGCCCACATAGTCTGAAATATGGCCTACCAGACCCCTGTAAGAAGATTGCGAAATCAGACATTCGACTTGAGAATGAGCCTTATTTTAGAATTTTCAATTGATTGATTGCAAATTTGTGTAAAACTTTCAATAAAAATAACCTTTTTGCTACTTTAAATCAGTAAGTCACATTGATACTGGAAAATTTGGGTAAAAAATTAGGTAAAATAGAACATACATTGAGTCAGAAACTGAAAATTCACATGTAAATATCCGACAGTTTAATTTGTTTTAAGAGAAAATGTATTATTCAATTTTTACAAAAATCAACAGAATGATTCAAATGGGTCCTAAAATAAAATGTGTAAAAATAAAGAAAATTGAACCGGTGGTTTAAGATATTTTTGCGATTAAAAAAAAATCAATGGCAAAAAAGCTAAAAGATTTAGTAGATGACGTCACAATATTTGACCTTTGACCTCGTGATATGACCTTGACCTTTGTAGTACATGAGGAATAGAGACTTCTTATATATGTGTCCAAATATCACTACTCTACATTTATGGAACAAAAGTTGAACTTCATTTTATAACAGACTGTTACATGCTTGTTTATTGCACTTAGATAGCGTAAACACATTCCAAAATGTAAGCTCCTAAGTGACCAATATATAGGATTCTCTGATTTTTTCACAAAATATAACGCAAATATGCCAAAACTTATTATTTTTCTTTCATGGATCATTCATTGATGTTAATATAGTAATATTATATTATTCTTTTTTCCTCCAGTATTTTTTAAGAAATGGGTTAAATAGAATCCATGGGTGTTTTGTCCTACCTTGTAAATTCATTGTTTAGTATTGACTAACAATTGCGATGAACATGGATACAGCAGGGTCACAAAATCATTCACGCCCATGTGTCTCGACATTTTTTATGAATACTGGTAATTCCTGCATAGGAAAACATACAACTTGTGGCATTTATGGATAAATAGAAAGTCAAAAACTTCAAATGACATATGCAAGAGCAATATTAATATGTTGATGTCAAAATGTCAAGATTTTGTAATGTAAAATTACAAGATTATTTGATACTGCTCTTTGCTGTAAGCAGAGTGACTACAAAAGTATGGCAAGTAATCATATTTTGTTTATTTTGACAAATTAATTTAAAAATGTTTAATGAAGTGGCAGCAACCCTAAATGTTGTATATTAACATTTTTTTGTTAATACATGGGGATCAAAATAATTTTTTTTAAAAAATATGAAAATATTATATCATATTTATTTACCAGGGCAAGTTTTTTGGTACCCCTATCCAAAAGAATCACAAGTTATGATTTTAAAGAGTTGTTTATAACTGGTCGGAAATAAATGAACAACATTACTTAAATATCGGTATCTTCAAGTTAACAAACATTGACATTTCTAGCATACCTTTTGACAAGAATGATTAGTATTCCAGATCAGTAAGATTTTTTTAAAAGTGTTCATATCATATCTAATTAAACAAAACATTGAATTTACCATTCAGCTTGAAGTTTAAATGTTTATTAAATTTTTCGAAAGTAATCTTTATTTTATTCATTTAGAATGAGTATTTAATATTAAAATTAATTTATAGTAAATGGATGTTGTTATCAAACTGAATCTAATGTTGACAAAACAACAAAACTTCACGAGTAAAGCACTTTCTTACATATTTAAACATTATGAACTGTCATTATTTATGTAGAAATATACCCTTATCACCTGTATAGGGAGCTTATATCTTCCAACTGATTCGATATGCAATGGCATATAAGTGCAACTAATTTCTATAAAAAAGCAAACGTTTAACAAACAAATTAATGAAACAAGGATTTCAAAGTAAACATTGTCCAAGTCTAATGGTCGATAAAATGAGAAGTCATTCAATACAATTTATCGTAAAGACGTTCTTTACACTATTTGCTTGGTCAAAATTTACTCACTGAACTGCCTACGGAATTTCCGTTTTTCCCGATCATTACAAAAAGCACACAAGAAGTGTATATATGGGATTTTTAACTTTCTCGTGGAACCTGATCTGGTATTTTCAGGATGTTTTAGAGGCCCCGTTTGCTCTGTTCCCCTTTTGTATCGTTCAAACAGACTTAAGAGGTTGGTTGTAATTCCATGT